AACAGAGCATTCTGCATTTAAATACTCCTACTTAGACTTGCAGTTCGAGTTGCTTAGGAACAATATCTTAAGCATACGGTTAGCTCAAGTGAAAGTCTCGTGTGTTTACATGCATGTGCTCTTCTAAGTGAGACCAGCAAAACTGACAAGCACGTCCGATTTCCTAGCATTTCTTATGTGTAATCCTTTAAGGTAGAGGGGAATATTTGTGGGCTGTCTAACCACCATCACTGCCGCCTCTGCTTAACCGCAAAAGCCGCTTGCTAAAAGACTGGCCGGGTTGAGCTGGGTCGGGTTTGAACAGGATGATGAACCTCGGCAAGATCCGCCCCAAGCGTTATCGTGACGACCGACACCGTGTAGTTAACAGCACAGAAAAGGTCTTTCATAGCATTTGCACTTTCTTCTTGCTATCAGAACCTTGAAAGAATAATCTAAAAGCGCGAATGACAGAAACTGAAAGCAATACTCACTCATCGACCTGTTCGTGGCCTTTAACCATAAACAATGCTGCAGTTAAACAAACTTCCCTACACAATGCTTTTGGTTTTGTCAACTTAGCAATTCATCTACTGAATCTTTTACTTAGCAACTCTACAGCAGGACTTTTACATAATTAACCATAGTGTCACAGCGAATAATGGAACACCATGGAAATACACATGTGAGTCACTGTTGCTTATAGTAATAACAGACAAATATATATATCCTTGACTCATGGGCACATAACGAGCCTTATGGCCTTGGTTACCACGGCGTCTAAGTCAATGCCTTACGGTTTTAGAAGCCGCGAACGCATAAACCCAAGCAGTTGTGGCTGTCAACCATTATTAATAGCTTTAAGCTAATATCGTATTGATACTGCATTAATTCTAATTTTTTTTTGCCTATGGTACTGACTAGTTGCTAAAACAATTATCGTTAATATTAAAATAATTATTTATATACTTTAGATCATATATTGTAATTAACACACAATGATAATAAATGCCCCCTTATACAATATAATTGATTAAATTTAATTGACACCAATGCGACAAAACATATACCGTAAGAATCACAGTTGCACATGATTTTTGCTCAGTACAAACCATATGCGTTAGACAATATACTTATCATCATGTAAACACACGTTTTAAACTAATATAGTTATTACCATTATCACTATACGATATGAAAAGCAGCAGAGGAGTCCTTCTAGCTCCTTTGTCCGCTTTTTTTTTGACGCAGTTGTAACTGTTTTCCTCGGACTCCTTCCCCGATCAAGTCGTATCGGTTAATGTCAAGGAGTGTTCCTTCTTGCTCGCTTTTCCCTCTCCAACTACACTCCCGAATTTCCCGTTCGACTGGTGGGGGTAGTTCAGCTAACTCCCGCGTGTGTCACTGTCGCTTCTTTCCGGCCTGCTTTCGTTAGCTATCGGCGCCGTTCTCGTCGTTGCTGGAAGTATCAAAGCAGCAGCCTCGAGCGGGCCCGGTTAGCCCAGGGTGTAGATAGATTGGGAGCGAAGAGTAGAGGTCTGCTGGAAGAGTCATTCGTTCACCATTCCCAAGTCACCGAAACCCGCGTTAGCGTGAGGGAGGGAGTGTGCCATTACCCTGGTGCATTCTCTTTCACTTCTGCCTTCTGGCAGAGCTCTGTATTACATCTAGGCATGGTTGTATTTGTTGGATGTGTTGTGTATATGGAAAAAAGTAGAATGGGAAGAACGGGCGTTGGAGTGCGCGTAAGCCTTTATCGGTCCCAGCAACTTAGGCAGATTCGCCGTGTGCTGTCTTTGTTCTGCGTATGTTGTCCTCGAAACGTCGTCATGTCTTACGTAGGAGCAGGAATGGCAAGCGAGCGAAGGATCGTTGCTAACAGTATGATAACAGCGCTACTGCAATCCGCGGCTTCCGCAACGGTAGCACGGAGCGACCAACCGATTGGGTCTGAGTGGATCTATTTGATTTTATGTTCTTATTCGTTCTCGTGCTTCGTCCTCCACTGCTACCACAACGAAGACGACAACTACTACAACACCAACTATGTATGTTCTTCGAGCCAGCCTCCGTTCAGCTTTCTGCTTTGATTTTGGGCTGTAGCAAAACTGGGGCTCGGGGGTGGTTCCGTCGTCCTTCGTTTTTTTTGTTGCGACTCTCGCTACCCTCGAGACGAAAAAACATCTATGAGTTGTATGCAGTAATGGTAGTCGTACCTAGGATAAACAGGTTTGTTCCATGTCCTACTCTCCTACAGTATGCCACCACGAAATCTGAACGAGAAGCAAAGCTCATTACCGTTTGTCCATAGAATTAAAGTGCGACTTTTTCAGCTCAGCCCCAATGGAATGATTACGTAACATAACTCTTTTTATGGAACGGAGCAACAAGAGTGACGGAACTTGGCAAGACAAACGTGGGTAAGAGCAGCGGACTTGTAATCAATCCATACTACTTTTTTTTCGAAGGTACAGCCTTACCGACGTTTTGCCACCTAACATCATTCTTATCCTACAGCGCTGGACAAAAAGACTGCGAAATACTTACGCATTAGCTTTTTCACTCGCGTATTATTCATTCGTCATCGACCCCCCCCCCTCCGTTATTTTCTCATCAACCAAGAGGTAGATAGCCACAAGCGTGCTAAGTCATGCGTGTCTTGTACGACCCACACACTTACCCATGGAACTAAAACGAGGCTACAATCGTGGCAGCGTGCTACATACGCGTAGCACTGAAATTCTATCGACGTCTGTGTGAGATCTACAGATCGGGATAGCTATCAATCCGCTACCTCCTACATCCTCCTACTTAACCATGGCCTTAGTACGTATCCTATTACCATTTGCATACATGTGAATGCAATGTCGAGGTCCGTTGCCAACGAAGCTGGCATCAGTAGCAGAAATAACGTCACAGCCATTACTCGTGTGCAGAGTATCGTTTTATACTAGTACCGGATACCAAGGAGCGCTCTAAAGTACTGTATTTATTGGGCACTATGCTATCATTCCTATGCCGTGCAATAAAGTGGCACTAACTTGCTCCCGTTTTACTGTCAACTGTCGTGGATCTGCTTTGTTTTAAGACAATAAGGCACATGATCGGATTGATCCTCATTGTGGAATTCACTCATTTCATGCAAGTACGACATGGCTGGCAGGGGAAAAGTTCTGCAAAGAAAAGCAAACATACCTACCAATGGCTGGGATCTGTTTTTCTATCATGTATGCTGTCATAGCAGACGATGACTAAGTGCTGGTAAAAAGTTCACTCGGACGCTGTTGTCAGGTCAACAGAAATCCAAGCTTAATACGAATTGGAAAGGATAAAGTGTTGACTAGTACTACGACAGCTTTCGGGTATCCTGTATATGATCGCATCATAGTACCGTTGTCTACTCTGGACGACGTCAGCTTTTTCCACATGGCCACAGGATTATAGATTCGGATCGCGCACAAAAATGCCACGACAAGTTAACATTGTGTTAACTTACTGCTGTTTTATCATTAGCTTCGCTTTACATTGTCGTGCTAATGCGTGCGATTATTAAAAATGCAAATTTCTATACATCTATTTCTACGATTTGATAAAGTGGCCATTGTGAGTGAAGCGGATTTTTGCTCTATATTTCGATAGATAGCGATCACGGCCATTGGATGATAAGGCTGAAATGTCTTTACAAGCTTCGATGTTCGCTTCCCTTTTCTAAGTGTGTCGCTGTAACGCCCAGATTGGCGTAAGGCACAATTTAAATGGGGATTGGTATGAATTTACGTGAACCTTGACTGATTTTTCTGCGACTGACTCTGAGCAAGCCAGTATTGCTTGGTCCTTCAGACAGGCGATACTTTAAAAAAGAGTCCGCTTTACATTACAATGAAATATAGTAACGACTGTTAAACCTCTAGCTGGACTTTCCTTAAATTGCCGTAGCGATCCAACCAAATACAGTCCTTCTCCTTTCCTTACATACTCACTCCATTTAAACAGGTTACGATTCTCAAGCAAATAGTACTAGTGAACTGATCGAGTGGCAAATATTTGCGTATGCGACACTGCAGAACGAATCGACGAACTCATGACGTTTCTCCATTGCGTTACTCCGTAGAGGGGTAAAAAAAACGTTCCTCTGTGGAACAACAGAGACAAACGACCGGATCTATTTGCCCATGTATATGCATAAAGTTCTTAAAATATACTTTTGGCTTTCGTGTATAGACGGAGCAGTTTCTATCGTCGAATGAAACAGGCGACCAAGAGGAACGTGCTACTTGAAGGAATCCGTAACTCTTTAAGCCAGCACTTCAAGCGCAAAAAATAAGCCGATATGAAAAATTCTCAGGAAGGAAATGCTTTAGATTAACTCGTCCTGACGCTTAAACGAAATACTCGAACATCGTGAAGCAGTACGACTGGCGACGGTTTCGGCTCATCTGCACAAAAGCCCTTTTTATTTGCATAGTAACTCCGACAAAAAGGAACATTCGAAAGAGGCCTTCATTAGTCACGTAACCAGTGTTGGCAAGGTCATACATAGACAACACATTTTATCTTTATATTTACTATTTTTCCGTACTCCCTGCCGATCTGTAATCTATCTTCCGATATAGCAAAAATAGCGGTGACGGAGTTGTCCGATCGTCCTTGGCCCACGTATGCAATAGCTATCTCTTTTGCTATCGGAAAGCACAAGTTCCATCCGTTGCTTCGATTCATTAATTTATTAATGTTTACGCTCTTAAGATGGACGGTCCTTGACTGTGGGTATGGTGCGTCTAATCATTAATATGCAATGAGTATCATTGTTTTTATTATATATTTGTGCGCTGGATCGTTTCTGTGTTTTTTTTTTTGTTTTTGCTATTTGCTTATTTGCTGTAGCAATTGACTTCTGTTAGATCTGAGTCACGCTGGACAGCGAGAATGTACATGCTAGACCGTCCTGTTGCTGTTTAGCTACTGATGTACTCGTACACGGTCCAGATCGGCCATTCATTCCCATACGGTCCGAAACGTACCTGCTATGTGAACTAGTAGAATGGCAGCCACAAGCGCCAGCGCGTTAAGTTGAGGAGACATGTTTCGGAGAAGTCGATCGAACAACAATAATGCCAATGATAACGTTCAGGTCGTTGGTATATATGATGACGACAAACGAGGCGTCGCTGAATCAATCGATGAATCACTGAGGCAATTAAATGTCTTGATGACACAGGAAATGTTGTCGCGGTTGTGCTTCTTGTCTCACACACACAATATACAATATCAACAATAGCACTAAATGTACGCGTGGCCTGTATTATCAATTACGAGAGCACTGCATCAACAACAATGACGACGAACGATAATGATGAAGAGTTACGTATTCTGCGTATATCCTCAACACGGCGTTGCCAAAGACGTAAACCCGATTTGGCGGAAAATGCGTTTTGGGGGACTGGAACGGGAACGGGGACGGGGACAAGTCTTAGTGAGAGAATTGGGCGTGATCAATAATCGGCAGAATAACAACGACAACACCGGGTGATTTGACACAGATTGGGAAGCAAAGTTGTCCGCGATGGTTCGCTTGTTCAGGGGACTGAGTTTTAGGCTAAAATTAATGGCGTTAGGTGGTGTGATTATACAACTCGAAAGCGCGTCTACGCTCTGTAAAAGGACCTTGTTTGTTTTTGAAAAAACTGGGTCTTATAAAAAGGAGTAAACTCTTTTGTTAGGTTTTCCGCAAGACGTATGTGTATTCCTATGCGATTCACCTGCACACTTTTCATAGCATCACCAATCAAAAAGACAGATGTCTACCGGTTAACGTCAAATGAATGAAGCACTATCGAACCCCGAGAAGAATCACCCCGGAGCAGCCGTAACAATGTTCTGCGAAGGCAATAACAAAGTACGGTAGTTTAGAGCGCGCCGGTGACAGTGAGATACAAGTTGCTTCTAATAAGAGTACCTATAGGGCGATGTCTTCTAGTAGGGTGTGCAGTCTCCGCGAGCCAAATGCTGATGCTAACAGACGCGTTGTCAAAGAACACTTCCCGAAGCCCTTTATCTTTCTCTCACAAACACGCAAATCAAACGCGTGCTATTAACAGGTATACAAGAGTTGTTGTTATATGTTATCTGGTGGATTGGCTTGAATGGCACACTCTTTAAAGCTTCTGTTATTCCGGAGAGCTTAGGTACGGAAATCAACGGGGAAGAATAATGTCCAAAGGGACTACGGCTCCAGCGACACCAACGTCTACATTTATAAGACACACTCGAACTGCCTGCGTATCCTCCTTCACCAATCCACAGCCACACCTGGGTGAGCCTGCAAGTGCTCTAATCTGACCTTACGCAATTTGAAAACCTCGTCACTGATCATTACCACTAGTGCTTGGTATCCTTAAGCTATGGCACATGCGTCGAATGCGATCCTTCTATTGGAGCTCGACAAGATGCCACCTGTCGAAATCCACCCCGTATTCGCTGGTTGGCGTAAATATCCGCAATGCTACGGCGTATATGACGTAGTGTCCAGTTCGTCGATCGCGTGTCACGATGATTTACACAGGGTTTTTTTTACTTGCTTCGGTAGACAATGATTATTTAGGGTAAATTGTACTGGTCTCCGCTACGCACTGCTATGATTCAACTAGATCGTCTTACCCTATTTTGTTACTATTGACAACCTCGTCGATTTTCTGTTTCAAATTATCCCGCTATGCGAATTTTTCACTGAAGTTCTTTTCATCGCCTTTACCCACTCCGTGCTGTCAAGGGTAGATTGGCGGTCGGCAATAACGCCAACAATCACTTTTCAGTAACTCTTCGGTAATTTCCAACTACGTCCAATGACAGCCCTTACAATTAACACTTCTGACTGTTCCTTTACAGTGTGGCCTTTTTCCCCAACAAAACACGCTGAAATGCTTAACTTCTAGATGACAAACACCAGTATCAGTATTTGTGGTACAATTCACCTTGTTTTGCACACACAGTCGCCCGTCGTCGTGCCGCTCTCAAGAGTCTTCTCCGCACTGGACTGAATCCGCTCTGACGGTAACGACGGTGGCAAGGTTTGGCGCGCGCGGATCGTGCCGTTCTCGTGTGCTACCCTTTCTCAATCCGCCACCGCTTTCCCTTTTACACGCACTTCTCTCTTTCAGCGCGACGAACCCCGGCGCTGGTCTGAGTTACCCTCTCCCCTTTAGCGATTCGCTGCGCCACCGAGGAGCGCTAGCTAGAATCCTAGCTATTGCTTTTCCTAGTGCTAGTATACCGATGCCTTCTAAAACCACCAGACTGGCAGTTCGCTGCTGCTGTCGCGGGAAAACTCGCCTATTACCTAAGCGGTTTCCTTTGTGGAACGGAGACATAGACGAGATTGTGCGGACGAGAGTTAGCCATTCTGGGTTTTTCAGTGTAAGAGTGTCACCAGCGTGCGGGGTAGCCGCATAAATGATTCTGACGTTTTATTGTCGGGAATAGAATATTTGCGTTTCGTCATGAGGGACGATTTCAATGGAAACTTGTCTGTTGCTCTATGAAGTTATTATTATGTTAGTCCTTATGAAACTTAAGCTTTCGATGGGTGTGTGTAGACGAGTAAACAACTCGCGCAGAATGGCACTCCAACCCTTCATAGTGGATGTTCCTTTTTTCAATGCTAAACGGTCGCGGCCATAGCAAGAGCAACTATCCTACACCTACGAGCTTTTCGGCGTGAATCTAACTATTTTCCTCCCTAAAACGTGGCTCAAAGCAATTTCGAGTCCTTGTGATATACAATACCCCTATTTCAGGTCTATACATTCCGAATTTTTGCCACGTTAGAAGACGCATAAGAAGCACCAAAGACGATAGAAGATTTGTCCAGCGATACACATTATCTCTTAACCATCAACAAATTAACGATTAGAAAAGAACATGGAATAAATGAATGAAAATAAACATAGTTCATTAAGTATACTATGACATTGCAAATGAGGCTGGACGTTGGATAATTGTCCACAAGTTGTCAAAGATAGTAGTAGTGTTTCCGGCTCTAGGTGCGGTATAATTTAATGTACAGGAAAAAAAAATTAGAAATAGATTGTAAGTTCAATAAAAGCTTTAACTGCCAAACCGCATCTAAAGGCGACAAAGAATCGTCAGAGGAAAGCGAACTTTTTAGGCACGATTAGGAAAACAGGAGAGATTTCAGATAACAAGCCCACAATGAACCTGCGCTCATGATCTATGCTTTGAATGCCGCTAGCTCTTGCGGTAGCGAAACAACTTACAACTAACAAAATTAAACGCCATTTGTAACTACTAAGAACAATCTCATAATATTCTTGGACTAAATGTCTTTGGATGCTCACCATGGATCACTTTTTTTTTTCTTTCGTGTAAAATAATCGTACGATGAGTACGCCACTCATTATGGAATTGTGTATTTCATCTATAAATATTCTAGCAAATACCATAATCACAACGAATAGAGCCATTGACGTTAAGACGTTAAACACGCTGATCCGATCGTAAAGTAATAGCCTCTTAAATACGATTCGTTAAGATCAAGAAACGGTGCGATCTTCTTACCGTACCTCTTAGATGACCAGGCTTTCGGAGTCACCTTTGGGTATTATTAGCAGGGATTCTATTGTGCATGTGATGAAGAAGGGATGTGATCACAAAATTCGAAACGAAGGGCCCGTTTTAGGTTACAATAGTTCGAAAGCGGGCCATGCTAGAGCGAGGAAAATGCCTACTTTTGCCAAAAAGGACAAAATTTACTCTAAGATCCATATATTAAAGAATTGCAGGCGTTGATTATAGTTAAGTCATAAATATTGCCTCTATATTGTAGGTAAAGCAATCACAAGTACGCATTACAAAATGCTAGCGACTCGGAAAGCTCAACAGCCCTCAGCAACTCTATAGACTTACAAGAGAAATATATGTACCGACGCCCGGAAATCGTAATACATGAGGTTAGTCACGATTCAAATTGTCGTAATTTGCAAACTGCGAATAAAAATGGTAAAATGTTTGTTCTAGCGTAAGCTACCGGCTGGCGTTTGTGCTAGGCGGTTTCTTCGTTAACTTCTGCTCGATTTGCGCTACTTTCAATACAAATTGGTGAACTTACTACGGTCGAGACGAAAACGTACTGGTGAAGACTCGACCAATACAGGTTGAGGCTTTCTACGTTCTCTCAATTAACCGAGTTATCGCTCAAGATACATTATCGTTATCTCAGTTATCTAGCATATATTGAATAAATTCTTACATATATTGAATCTTTTTTTTTTTTTCAGTATGCACTTCTAGAAGTGGGCTTACCCGGACCTTACCGTCAGTTGAAGAAAGCGTTCCTAGACAAATTTGTTATCTACTGTACTTTGAAGTAAGACTCCCGAAAAATCACTGTATACGCTTAAAAAGCAGCTTCATCTTCTTTGTTCATTTTGAGCCGATGCTTGACGGTCATCCGAGAACCTTGGCATGTATAATAGAAGGTTCTGCAGGACATTAGGAGAGAGAACTACAGACATTGTAGTTAATCGAGGAGTTCTTTGAGAATACCACAGAATATTACCTTTTGATCGTTTCAGCTCCATAGAAGCTGCAAAAAATGACAGTAACATCGCGCTCGTACCCGATAGAGAACTTTATGAATAACTGCTCAACAAACTTAGATTCACTGCCGTAGTCTTTGTTAAAGCGTAAATGTTATTTAAAGTTCTCGTATTCTTTAAATCTAGCTGTGCGGGCAAGCTATACCGAACGAAGGCACTGGGCCCTTTGCGCCGTTTGTTTGTAAATCTCTTCAAAACAGATTTTTCGTACGAATAGGGAAGTTAGATATTTTTCCCATTATTTGCCGTAATAACACTGATGTTTTTTTTTTTTTGACATTTTCGTATTTGGTATGCTAGCTTAAGATTTATAGGGCTACAGTGTTCTGGCTTGTGTCGACCATATGCTGCTGATATCAGAGGAGTTAACTTATGAACTGTTTGACTCTCAATTTTGACCCTTTAACCTTCTTTGAAGAACTCTTGCAGGTCCGTCAAAGAGGCCATTGTGTTGGGCGGGGTGTTAATTATGAAAGCCACCTGACATGCGTGAGAATTTCATATGAAGTTTGAGGCGTTCGCGCATTGTAAATAGAAAATTCCAAGCACGTGGGTTTGTTTGCCAGCCTGTAGGATCCGCTCAGTTGGGCGGTTGTAGGTATATTGATACGTAGTGCGATTCGGATCTACGGCTTCGATATTCGTCTCCATTTTGGGTATAATCTGTCATGTTCAAATCTAAAAAAGCGAAGCAAGAGTCACCTCGTCGCTGCTTGAAAATTTTGTTTTGGTGAAGATGCGGTGCTATCGTGTTTGGCTTCTAAGCTAAAGAACACGCACTTGCGTCGGTTCAAAACTGGACGTAGACAGACATACTCCATTTGCTGTATACATTTCTGCTGCACTGAGCGGCTGAAGATAAGGGCCTACTTGAGAAAGCGGCTCAGTTGTCTGGGCTTCAGGATTTTCCTAGGCGCGATATGCTGAGTTCGCGTAAAAGATGGCGTACAATGGATACCAGTGATCTCGCGATTGGTTCCTTTAGAGGATTTTGACGCACATATTAACGCCGGCTGTTTCGTCCTCGAATGCAACGACTAGATTTGTAAAGCGCCCTGTACGGTGATGGGTGTTTGTTCTTGCATAGAATTCTGGTTGCGCAGATATTTACGTGATGTGCAGGAAATCGAAGTTGCTGGTAAAACGTTCCATTCGGCCGTTGATGGAAAGAAAATGGTCGGAATAGGCTTTTTCCACCATAAGCATGACCGGTTTCGCGCTTGTATATGAAGGAATGGTTCCTTCTTTGCTGGTTAATGAATCCGTCTCTATGATTCCCTTGGAGGATCGATCGGAGGGCCCAATGAACCCTGCTGGTCATATACCGAGACAGGTAAGTTTTGTTACTTATCGAAGTTCGGCTTCTTCCAGTCTAAGCGGTTTGAGAACTGGTGTCACGTTTGGTTGGAATGTAAGTTGTTTGACAAATGTTTGCTCTTTTGGGACGATTTGCGAGCTTACACCGAAGTCTTTCGGTAAGGTTTCTTGAATTTTGGGGATATTTCTCTCAGGAATTTATGGCAAAGGCTTGATTTATCGTTTTATTTTTTTTCCTATTACCGTTTCGAATGCTTTTACTGAATACGCATAAGGTACATGCGTTTGTAATGATGTTATTCCATATACTTATCCTGTTATCTTATGAAGTAGCAGCTAGCGTTATGATCAATTCTTAACCGGTCTTTTTTAATTACATTTGACATTGATAATAAAGTAAAAAAATGTGTGCTGTTGCTCAATAAACTAAAGAAAGGTGCAGTAGAAGTTAAACAGAGTTTTTTTTTATAACTTCGAGTAACCATATATAAGCGATACATTTGTTCTCACTCGAAGATGTTTGAAAGTTGAAAAAAAAAGATCAATTCCTTTCCAATGTAAGATAGATATAATAAATTCTTGGCGTGTTGAATGCTTAACAGTGACACCATATAAATCGTTTATACTTTCTGTGATTAAGGGTTGGATTGACGCCACCCATTTGTGTCGAGTTTTATCTGTTCGCATTCGTCGAGCACAAATATTCTTCACTAATTGTATGCGTTGTTCGGTTCCCGTGGTGCCTTCGACCTATAACCGATGTAAGAAGTGGCACCGGCTTGTCGGGACGTTTCGAAGATGTTACTATTCAATTTAAATTTATAATCCTTACATTTCTATCTTTTATGCTAATGTCGTACTTGGCGAAGAAGAAAAACACTCGATCGAACAGCGGACTCTAAAGGACGGACCTAGATCTAACATTGCCCTTAGGTTGGGCATTGTCTGGAAGCGTTATTCTCCCGATAAACTGGTAAACTAATAAGGTTAACTGGTAAACTAACTAGGAGAAAGGTTGTACAGGGATTACACAAAGTGGATTGTGGCCTATTTGCAGTGAGT